TTTAGATGCTTGATTCAGTAGTTATAAAAAGCATTTATGATGCGCCGTAAGACACACGAGCACCCAGACAAGACAGAAAGCTGCTGCAAATCTACTTCTCATCACCAAATGCTGTCACTACACAGGTAAGTGCCTTAATGACTGATGGAAAGTAAAGGTTTCTCACAAAGGTGACTTGGCTCAACATTGTTCATCTGGTTTATTTGCATCTCCATTACACTGAGCTGAGACATGCAGTCAGAGTGTCTCCAAAAATACCTCTATGGCTTTGTTTGCTTTCTTCTTCCTCTGTAAGAGCGTAACCATATGCTAAGTTTAGTGGGTGTTTTTAGTTGTTTCCTAGTTTGGGAAAAAAAAATAGGTTTGATTGCAAACCAGGAACAGTCAGAAATAATTCTAGTGAAGTCAGCATAAACCAGGTACAAATTAGCACGAAAACTATAAAGAACAGCCTCAGGTACACCAGTTTCAAGACCATATGGTACACTTATTGCCCAAGCACACTGAACTACTTAGATTGCTCTGGGACTTTGAATACTATTACCAGATAATAACACTTCTTCTAGAAAACAGACAATTTAGACAAAACTATACTTTTAACTCCTGATTTTATGCCTGCTCACAGACAACTTGCCTTTTTTTTGTTTAATATAGAACTGTTTTGAAACAGACAATAGCTTAACGATGTTTTTTAAACTAGACCTCCCAAAGTCAAATTTCATACCCCTGAAATTTTCACCACACTATTTCCTGTCTTTCAAAATGCTCTTCAAAACTCTGATTTGCATATGGAAACATCTACATTCATAAAGCAAATTTAAAAAAAAACAAAAACAAAAACCAAACAACACACCCCACAAAGCTGGGCTTGTAATTTTTGTTTTTTTAAACCATGAGTCCACAGTGCAGATACCCAAACTGCGAGCAGTATAAATCAAAGCCTCTGTGAACACCTGGTGTGCATTACCTGCATATACTTTTATACAATACATCACTATCTCCTAATACCCGTCTCTCAGCTTACTGCTCAATCAGTGTTTCTAGCGACCAAAGAAGGTGCTTTTTTTCTTTCTTGACATCTTTAGAAACCAAAGAACACAACTAATGATTTGCTGGCCAGGGAATTAAGAATTAGACAGGCTCATACCACGCCCGCATGATCCAGCCTGAATAGGAAGGTTAATGACTTGATGAGCGCTTGCAGACAGCCCACCGCAGTGCCGTGACGAGTCTTTGTATGAATTGCCACGAGCCAGCAAACCGTGTCCTGACCCTTGCAAAAAGCACCAGCTATGCACGGGACGGTGCACACCAAGCCCAAAGAGAAGTCAATGAATGAGCTCGAAGGCCATCTGGGTTTACAGCGATGACAGTACACTCCTCTCCTTTGCTCAAAACGTCTCAGGGGTGCCATGGGACCTGCCTAGGAGGTACCACAGAGCATCAGCTGCTGCTCAGCAACCCTCCTGGTCACTTCTGGAAGGGGGGTGGCCCAGTGGTGGCTGGCTTTCATGCCTCCAGACTGCCCTCCACCAAGCAGTGCAGCTTGCCCTTCCATTCACACAAATTAATTCAGACAACGCTGTTCTTCCAGAATAATGAGGGGGGAAGCGCGAGTAGAGAGTGAGAGCTCTCTTGGCATCCGATTCAAATCTGTGAACAGCTTCTCACAGGGAACTATTTTTAAGTTTCATATCAATCTGCTTGAGAAAGGTTCCTTCTGCTGCCTACAAATGTGCAAACTCCCCCTTCGAAGAACCACAGCTCAGGACAGCAAGATCCAGCCCTGCACTTGCAACCTCATCAAGACTCAGTATTTCATGACCAAAGCATTGCGCAACCACACAACGCTCCTGCAGGGCATGCCCTGGTGAACCCCGCCCGAGCATCAGGGAAGCCTCCCCGTTACCTTCAGGAGTCCTGCGTGTTCTTCGCAAGTTTACAGGTAGCACACATTCACCCGTGAAACAACCCACATTGAGGCAGCCTGACTGCTTCTGGAAGCATTACTGCTTTTACCACTGCAACAGAGGCAGAACCACTATATGAGATTGAGGGGGAAAAAAGAAAAAAAAGTGAGATGCAGTAAGCGTATAGATGCTGTGCATGACCTGACCAGAGAGGTGAAACCATTGTATGCTGGGTTATCAGAAATTCCTGTATGAAGGCATTGTTCAGGCTTAAGAGGTCTGGTGAGGAAAAAAAACAAGGAAAAAACCAGCACTACACAATGGATGCAGATAAGCAACCTCGCAACAAAGCCCTGAGCGACTGCAAGACAACGGGGAAAACTTATTAGCTGCAAGCATCCTATATCCTGTCTCCAATAAAGCAACACAGATGTTCTGCTAATGCAGGGTGTGAAAAGATGAAAAGAGCACTAAGCAGCTATCAAGCCCTCCGCAGGAGAGAGGGTCAGTGTTCAACAGCTGTCGGAGGGAAACAGCGGCTGAGCACACAAAGATGTCCACAGGATGGGCAAGAAAAGCCTCTTCTTAACAGGTCTAAGAATGTAAGATGTCCCTAGTCACCAGCAAGGGAGGCCACTGTTATGACCACGAGCCCCTCGATACCACTGCAAACAGAGCTTTGCAAACCCAGCTCCGGCCCAAGAACAGAAAGACCATTGTTCAAGAGTTTAGTCACCAGGGCAGTTATCTGCACTGGGAAACGCATGGGGTGGGTGGGTGTGGGGGTGTGTGTGGGGGGGTGTGTGGGGGGGCGTGTGGGTGTGTGTACACACACACACACGCGCACGCGCTGGGGGCTGCACCTCTCCATGGCACAGCAGAACCGTGGCTCTGCCCAACAAGAGCAACCGGAGCCATGGGGCTGGAGGAAGGGTGAGCTTCAAGGCTCACTTCTTGTTTGAGAAGTGGGGTGCAGAAACAGCCCCACCATCAACCCTCACCCATGTGCTCTGCGTATCTGACCTCTCCTCCCAGTGTACTTCCCAAAGGCAGAGCTGTCGGCCCTCCGGGAGGCTTTCCTAAGCCTGAAAAAATCTGGAAAATCTGTTCCCTGGAAAATCCAGGCCACTTAGCTAGCACATACTGGGCATCTGCTACTGTGTCAAGAGGAAACTGCAACAAGAACATTAGTTAACAGCCAGTTACAGAGGAAACACGCTGAGCTGTAGGAGATCATACTCTACTGCCTTGGCATTTTTTGCTTTCTCAACACGCTGTTCCCCATCCCATTCCCCACAGCTGAAGCAGGAGAAACGTTTGTTTGTGCCAGCGGGTGGGATTTGAACCCCAACTGCCCATACACTTGGTCCTGCACATCTCACAGCCCCAGCTGCCCAGAGGAGGGCTGGCACAGAGAGCCCGGGCGTGCTGCAGACACCGCACCCCAACCAGCAAACATGGGGAAGCGTCACCCACCGGGTGACATTGGACTACAGCACAGCTCAGAGCTGAGCCAAGCTGGGTGGCTGCACAGGGGACACCTCCTCAGGACGCTGCAAACATCAGGCAAGTTCTGCAAGTGGCATGGTAATACCCTACGTGGCATACCAGCACTCCTTTCAGTTCACCAATAAATGCCATAAAATGTAAACATATTAATCTCTTCATTCAAAGTATCTGCACTGCGACTGGCTACAATTCAAAAGTTTCAAGGGCATAAAGAATATGATTTTTTTTTCCCTCCGATAAAAACATTTTTGTCTCTTGCCGTCAGCAAACCAGCAATGAACATTTGAAAGTCACTGCATAACTAAGAGTCATTGGATATAATCAGATTAAAAAGAGCAAAACCGAATGCAAACAGGAAGCCTGAACTTCTTGGTAAAAGGGAACAGAAGTGAAAATATGAAGAAGTCACAAACAGTAATAAAATGGGTGAACCCGTGTTAGACCAGATCCAGCCCCAGTCTGAACCTGTGCATACATAATTCCACCAGTTCTGTTACTCATTATGTTCATAAAAAATAAACTCAAATCTTTTCAAGCAACAGTTGAAGTTCAAGGGAAAACTTTTAAGCTTGTAAAATTTACTAGATTCCTTCTAGAAACTCAAACAGGTTAATTACTCGGATCAAAACATTAAACACAATGTCAAGAGTTCTTAAAAGCCATCAGTTATCCATATTGTCTCAGGGTTTTTACCATCCTATTTAAAACACCTTTGAGGAGCCACACTTTTTTTTTTTGGGGGGGGGAGTGGATGTGACTTTCCTAAGAACTACAGTGAAGTGACCCCAAACAGAGATCCTCATCTCCCCTTCTGTGAGTCCCCTGCCTCCCCTCAGACCCCGGGTATTTGGTAAATTCTGAAAGCCACCCCTGGAGCTCCAACAGTGACAGACAAGCAACCAAGAGCCATTTACTGCCTGCAAAATCAACTCTGCAAATATAAGCACTAGCGAAAAGGCTCAGGTGTAACTCGGAGGCCTAGCAGAGCCATCATGTTTGCACATCCCTTGCAGAAAGCATTTTCCCAGGGCCCGTTTTTCTGGGAGCGCTGCTCTCCAAATATTTTGGCTGTTCCTCATCTACAGGATGGTGTTAGAGTGCATCTGCAAGTCTGTCTCCAGGAAATACGCATAAAGCTGATTCATTATCTTAAAATGCTGCTTTCATTTCTGCTCATTAAAAGCACATTTCAGATCCCTGCGCCGAATGCGCAGCCGATGTGCTCTGGACACGAATTAAAGCACTGGGTTTCAGTTCTGTACTTCTCTCATTTCAGTTTCATTTGCTGCCCACAATGTGCGTTCTCCATTTCGAGGACAGCTGTATCAGACCTGAGCTACCATTGGAAAACGCTCTGAATAAAATCCTCTCTCTCCCTGTGATGCCTGGCACTCCAGGCAATTGCACTCGATGTCAGCCCCAACCTAGATTTCAGGAGCTACATCCCGCACCAGCAGCATCCTCCCTGCAGAAACAGAGCAATAAACAGTGGTTCTGCACATCCCACACCCCAGCACGCCGAGCCATTCGGAAGAGAAGGAAAAGCAAGTGAGCTTAGGTAATGCACGCGTTAGTCCTCACCTTTAGGGAGTCAAAGCAGGCAATAACTCGACCATTTTCCACATGGCAACTCCGTGATGGATGGGCGAACTTGCACTCTGCATCAGACCGAGAACAAGTACCTCTCTGAAACTCTCGACACACTTCTAACGTCAGCCATTTTGTATCACGAACCAGGGAAACGTTTACAGCCATATTAAAAAAGAAAAATTAAAATGCAAGCAATCGCACCCTTCTTCAGGGCAGTATTTACTGCTGATCTTTTGTTTTCTTCTTTTTTTTTAAAAAAAGGGTAAAAAAGTGAATTCAAGTTAAACGTGAAGAAATAACTAACTTGTTGCTTTGGTAGAACTCCTATTCATCAGCACTTAGGTTTTCATTTAAGTCAAATCGTGTTTGTTTAAACAAGAATTAAACATAAAGCCAATCATAAAATAGAAATCTTATCAGAACAACTGAAAATCAAATTAGAGGCCAGCTCCTAAAAGTGCAATTGTAGAAGTTAAAATATAAGTGTTATATTTTGTGCCACTGCCGAAGTTACTTGCAAATAACTGGCAGACTTTCAAAAGAATTCTGTGCTCTCCAGTTAATGGTTTCAATTATTCTTGCAAAAAGCATATGCTGCTGGCAGCACTTCAGTTTGTGGAATGGTCTCGGTCCTTGGGGAGAAAACTTCGGGGATTTTTTTCCTTCTATTTCTTGCTTCTAAAAATTACGGTTCGCGAGCATCAAAACGAGCAAAAGGACGTCTGATTTTTTTTTTTCTCTTTCTTTCTTTTCTTTTAAATATTTGCTACATACTCGGGGGAAGGAAAAAAATTAAAATGGCTGAGCAAACTGCGTGTAAATGAGCAAAAAAAAAAAAAAAAAAAAAGGAAAAAGCTGGGGGAAGTAGCGTGCA